TGTGCCCGCTTGCCGGGAGCCCTCGGCAGCCTCTGGGCCCACACCTCCCTGCCAGGCCCTCCTTGCCGGCCACCCACGCGCAGCTCTCAGGGTGTCCAGCTTGGTAAGGAGGTCTCCCCCAGGCAGGTGGTGAGGCTCAGGGAGCTGGGGAGCTGCTGCCCCCAGAGGCAGGCAGAGCTGGGCCCCACCCCTTGGGTTCAGTCCTGCGGGGACCCACACCCCAGCAGGTGCGGGGAGGAGGGGCTCTGGGAATGTGAGAATAAGCAAATGCACACAGGGGTTCAGAGGCCCTGAGGGCGAGGTATGGGTGCCCCGGGCTTGTGATCCCAGAGCTGGCTCAGAGCCAGTCTGGGAACCCCAAGAGCGAGCCAGCAGGGCTCTGGCGGGCAGGACCAGGGGCTCCCACTGGAAGGAAACTGGGTGGAAGCAGAGCGGCTAGCCCCCCAGGGAAAGTGCTCTGGACCCGCACAGGAGGCATCCCCGCCAGGCAGCCTCTGCTCACACCTGTCCCCAGGAGCGACCCCAAGGGGCTCCGGGAAGCAGGCCCCAAGCAGGGCCGTGGGAGCCAAGAGCAACAGTCTCAGCCACCCCAACCCCTAACCCCTGAGCGGGACACCTCGGGGCCTGCAGGGCGGCCTGGGGTACAGCCCTTCCTGGCGGGAGGGCGCCCCACTGGAGGCAGCAGGCCCCCCTGCACGGGAGGCCCCGCCCCGCCTTCTGGGGCGGCTCAGTGACAAGGCGGAGGGGCGGAGGGGCGGCCGGGGGGCCACTGTGCACGCAGCGTCCTGTCCCTGGTCCCTGGTCCCCGCCGGTGGTGGCAAATTGGCATGCAAACTGGCTGAGAAGGAGCGGCCCTGGGGACCCCGAACGCTTCCCCGCTCGCTCCTCCAGCGGCTCCATTAGGCGGGAATCGATTCCTTTATTCCCCAACGACGTGAACAAAACTATTTCACTTCCTAACGCTGCTGCCAAGCAGTCGAAACGTGCACTTCCCGGTAATTTTTGGCAATTTTTTTCAGCGTGAACTCCCGGCACTTCAGGAGCCAAATGGGTTCTGCAGATTGGAGAGGGTTTCCTGGGGGGGCGGGCCGAGGCCCCCCACCGCCTCAGACGGCTCTCCAGAGGGTCCCTGCCTGGCTGGGAGGAGGCCCTGCCTCGGCCTCAAGTTCTCTCCATCTCACAAAGCCCTGAATAGGCAGCTGCCTCACAGGGAAAAGCACGTTTTGCATAAAAAAGGGCGTCCACTCGGAAGAGGTGGCCCAGGCAGTGGGGGAGGGGCGTGCTCCTGGCGGGGAGGGGGGCTGAGATCCCCCTGCCCCAGCCAGAGCAGGAGCTCGGCATCCCCATCCCCATCCCCTGGGAGCAGCACCCAGGGAGAGGAGCCTCTGGGAGGGCCCCGCCCAGGCTCAGCCCCAGGAGGCGGGAGAGCCGGCGGGGGCCGGGTCCAGGGGCAGCTTGGAAGCCACAGGCTGGGCGGGCCAGGGGGGCGCAGGCTTCCGAACCCTCCAGCCCCCCAGTGTCCCCAACCCCCATCAGTCCAGGCAGAGGCCTGCCAAGGCCAGAACCCAGTGGGGCCCAATGCCAAGTGGCCTGTGCTGTCCTCGGGGCCAGGATCTGCTAGGGGACACGGGGAGGAGGCTTCCTGGGGGGGCGGGGCCCTCCAGACAGATGGGGGGCAGGAGGGTCGGCCAGCCGGCTGGGCTGGTCTCCACAACCGACCCCC